AGAAGTAATGATTTCAGATGTAGCTGCTATACTCTGCCACATTTTCACAAATTACTGCAGCGTCACAAACCGGCCACAACCAGCCAATGGAGTTGCACACATATGTGGACTGTCCTAAGGCTGGATAAAATGGGATGGTTGTGTCGGGAAGCACATCCCGTTGAAAACTTGTGTCAAATCAGATACGGTATGAGGATCACAGTAATCCACTGTGGTGACCTCCCCAACCATGGGAAGCTGCCAAACCACAGCAATTCCAGTGTTCCAGTTTATTGGTCTAGATGATCCTTAACCAACAGTTAGGTGTCCATATAAACATAAATCATTTCTCCTGTTTATACTGGCTCTCTTTCTAATAAGCTTGCTATGTGCACAATCCTCATTCTGTGTAAAAATATATTGTAAAGTTCATCTGAAGAAGTCAAACAAGTACATTTCTACCAAAGCAAAGTGTTGTTGGTATAAAATTCCTCCTTCAGTTTCCATCCGCTGTTTTTGCTGAACTGCAGTGGAGGAAATGTAAGAAAATACTAAAAGGACAGTATCTTTGGTATATCCTGGCTTCATTTGTCTTTTGAGGCTTTTCAAATATGTGCACAGGTGCCAGGGTCATCTTTCACCAGCAGTAACTACTTTCTAACAATGTTTGATTTGTTGGATTCAACACATTGTTACTAGTCATGATATATCAGCACATTGAATCATAATCTGAATATGGACAATATTCTGCTATATGTGTGCAGGTGTTTTTTTAAACCCAGTCATGTTACTTTGTGGGTTTAACAAAAGAAAACCTAGATTCTGAACGTTGAAATTACCATAATGTAATTGATATGGCAGGCAAATTTAGGTACTTTAATTAGGCCCCGCCTGGCCACTCCTTGGGGCCACCATTGCACTTGTGACTACAATAATTTGTCCACACTCACCTGTTTAGAATGGCACCTGCTACCTATTGTAGTTTTAATGTGTTGTTGAAAGGACATATAAATGTAAAAAAAAAAAAAAAGTTTCAGTTCTAACAGTTGTAGCATTATACAATGCAAGCAAGCACTTTTTGTTTGTTTTAGTTACAATTTACAGGTGAACTACACCTCTGTCAGTAATTTGTTGATGCTGACATCAATAAATATCTGTTTAAATCCTGTCCAGACCTTCCTGCCACACAGAGATTCACACTAATATCCTCTTTCTGGATGTTATTGTTATGGCTGCGGATCGGTGCACTCCCAGCACCTCGTCCGCAGCCCTGGGACCATCAACAGCTCCGCCCCGGCGGCGAGGGGCACCTGCTCCGAATCAGGGGAGCATTACTTAGGGAGAGCGTCGGTGTGTTCTCGTCACCAGATGATTTCTCGATGTTCAGCAATTATTCAGTAAGCTTCCGATCTGACTAACCTGTGTTTCTTTTTGCCTTGGTGATCCCAGTATTGTTTCATGCGTTTTTCTGAGCTATGAACTGAACTATTTGCTTTCTGCCGGAGGAAATCCCGTTGAGTATTGTTATGAACTATTGTTTCTGGGAAACTGACTGTTGTCTCTGCTCTACTGAATCCTGCTGTATTCTCGCCAGTTTGAGTTTTCACTGGTTGTTTTTAGTTTTCTCTGAACCTGCGCGTATACTGCGATCTCCTCGCAAGCTCGAGTGTTTTCTAGGAGGAGCCTGCTGAGCTGTATGCAAATCCACGGCAACTCGGCTACCCAGGCGCACCTCCCACACTGGCGGGGCTGGGCTGCAGCCAAACCTTCTGTGAACCATCACTTCCACTGCCAGCGGGTTCACGCACCGCCCAGCAGACGCCGCATCACCTCCTGCCTTCCTGCTCAACACTCATTCATCATAACCCAGGTTCTCGTCATTATTAACCACACAAAGAGTCACTGCTGATCTGTTCAGCTTTTCTGAGCCGCCTGATGAAGTATAGCCGCTGCTGGGCTTTCTTCGCTGTGGCAGCTGTGTTCAGTGACCAGATCAGGTCAGATGTTCCCTGCCACATGCTGCGCCTGTTGTTAGCCATGTAATAGCTCTCCAGTTTTTGGAAATGTGCTCTCTTTGCACATGCATGCTGTTTGTACTATAATGAAGGGGAAAATAGAACATTATAATAAACATTGGATCACAAACCACAGAAGTGAAAGTCTCATGATGATGATACCTGCTCCATATTACAAAAATGACAGATATGAAAATCAGACACTCCTGCCTGGATGAACAGTTATCTGACTAATGAATAATCAAGTTATGTTATATCCTGAATATGATCAAAAACATGATCATACAGTGCCTTGCGCAAGTATTCGGCCCCCTTGAACTTTGCGACCTTTTGCCACATTTCAGGCTTCAAACATAAAGATATAAAACTGTAATTTTTTGTGAAGAATCAACAACAAGTGGGACACAATCATGAAGTGGAACGAAATTTATTGGATATGTCAAACTTTTTTAACAAATAAAAAAACTGAAAAATTGGGCGTGCAAAATTATTCAGCCCCCTTAAGTTAATACTTTGTAGCGCCACCTTTTGCTGCGATTACAGCTGTAAGTCGCTTGGGGTATGTCTCTATCAGTTTTGCACATCGAGAGACTGAAATTTTTGCCCATGCCTCCTTGCAAAACAGCTCGAGCTCAGTGAGGTTGGATGGAGAGCATTTGTGAACAGCAGTTTTCAGTTCTTTCCACAAATTCTCGATTGGATTCAGGTCTGGACTTTGACTTGGCCATTCTAACACCTGGATATGTTTAGTTTTGAACCATTCCATTGTAGATTTTGCTTTATGTTTTGGATCAGTGTCTTGTTGGAAGACAAATCTCCGCCCCAGTCTCAGGTCTTTTGCAGACTCCATCAGGTTTCCTTCCAGAATGGTCCTGTATTTGGCTCCATCCATCTTCCCATCAAGTTTAACCATCTTCCCTGTCCCTGCTAAAGAAAAGCAGGCCCAAACCATGATGCTGCCACCACCATGTTTGACAGTGGGGATGGTGTGTTCAGGGTGATGAGCTGTGTTGCTTTTACGCCAAACATAACGTTTTGCATTGTTGCCAAAAAGTTCGATTTTGGTTTCATCTGACCAGAGCACCTTCTTCCACATGTTTGGTGTGTCTCCCAGGTGGCTTGTGGCAAACTTTAAACGACACTTTTTATGGATATCTTTAAGAAATGGCTTTCTTCTTGCCACTCTTCCATAAAGACACACTCTTGTGTGTTACAGCCTGCTCAGTGTTTTATAACTAAGGTGTCACTTTATTTTTAAGCTCATTTAATAAGACAAGTTGAACCAGAACAGACTCATTTGGAGCAGCATAGAAACACATACAGTACACACATGGATCACTGTGTAGAGCTATGGGCAGCTTCTGCACAACTTCTATAATTAATTAAAGTCCCACTCCAGAAACATTTTCATTTTTATATTTGTATATAAAAATACTTTACTATAAACAATATGCAGTCTAACACAGCTTTTCCTCAAAAAAATTTCAGTGGGCCTCTGTAATAGGAATGAACATTGCCCCTCATTGTGCATTCCAGGATCTATGAATGTTGCCGTCATCCCTTATGTGGATTTGAATAATTTTGCACGCCCAATTTTTCAGTTTTTTATTTGTTAAAAAAGTTTGACATATCCAATAAATTTCGTTCCACTTCATGATTGTGTCCCACTTGTTGTTGATTCTTCACAAAAAATTACAGTTTTATATCTTTATGTTTGAAGCCTGAAATGTGGCAAAAGGTCGCAAAGTTCAAGGGGGCCGAATACTTTCGCAAGGCACTGTATATGCAATAGCAGAGACTATAGTGTTATAGAGATACTAACAAATGGCATGACAGAAGTTAAGTGAAGCTGAATAACGTTACGTTGAAAATAAATTAACTGTTGTAAAATAAACACCATGTGAATCTTATCACCAAACCTGCCTTTTTTCCACCTGAAAAGTCATCCATCCATCTCCCTTTCTGCTGTCGAAGCCCTAGTCCATGTCTTCATGACATTTTAACTGGACCACTGCAGTAACATTCATTAAGTGCTCAGTAAAATTCAGTACATCCAAAACTAATGCTCACCCACTCGTTCACTCCTGTTCTTGTGACCACGTCCTCCAGAACTTTATGAATCTGTAATAGCTCCCTGTCCCACAAGTAACACGCCTTCTCATTATTCACAAAGCCCACCAAAACCTGGCCACCTCCTTCCCCCACAGTCCCTCTCACTGGCTCTGTTCAGCTAATGTTGACACCTTGCATTCATGATGAAAAAAATGACCTAATGCTCTGATGCAATTACAGAATACACATCAGATTTCATGTTCAATTTCTTTATTACTTTTATAATTTAAATGATTTATATCATTTAATAACGACCACCATTGCATTTCATTTCACTAGTTTTATCTCAAAACCATGTACAAACTTCTTATTTTCCTTGAGAATGCCCCCCTCAAAATTCAACTGACATGACTTACATCTTAAATGTATGAGAATCAATTGATCAGTTGATCAGGTTCATTGTCATGCTAAGCGTGAGCAGTGAAATGCTGTTCTCAGTCAATCAGTAGGTTTCACATTTAAAAATTGCAGGCACACAACAACAGACAGTAAACAGACATTAAAAACAAAAATTACATGAAGAGCACAACACTGCCTAAAAAAGGTGCTAACCCTTTATGAGGGAAGCCTGGTACAAAAGGGGGCATAGGGAGCAACATTTGTGATTAGGCTCTTAGCCCGTGGAAAAGAACTGTTACACAGTCCAGTGGATATTGCCTGTATACTCAGGAGACTCTTTGCAGATGGCATGATAAAGAGGTGATGTCAGGGTGAGAGGGATGTTAATGGCCTTTCTGACACACCTTTCCCTGTAATGTCAGATTTTTAAGGGCTTGCATTGCAAAGAATTCAAATGAGTGGGGCTTGATACGTGTGGGGGCCGGTAATTTCAGGATGCAGGTCATGACCCCTTGGGGCTACTGCTGCACTTGTGACTACAATAATTTGTCCACACTCACCTGTTTAGAATGGCACCTGCTACCTATTGTAGTTTTAATGTGCTCTATCCATTAATGTTCTGTACTGTGTTGGATACTTTAAAGTCTGGTACCATTTGAGAATACAGGTGTAAGTCAAATTCTTGAGTAATGTTCAACTAACGCATGACTCGTGATTTAATGAATGATTTACTGTATCATGAATTCCTGTTACACACCGTTAACAAATGATCTCATTACTATGGCTTTATATGACTACCTCATACTTAATAGATTATCAATTAAGGGTTGTTCATTCATATGTACATCATACATTGGTTGAAATGCCACCACATTAGCTGCATTCCAGTTGCACAAATGTTCATTTCAGACCCATGGATTTAGTCAGTTCTCTATAAGCAGACTAGAACCTACTTTTATATCTTTGTCATTTTTAATTTTTCTTCAGTATGAAAGTTATCCAGTGACAGCTATCTGTACAACCATGGGTATACCGCAAACAGAAACTGTTAATAGGTCATTTGGCATACATTTAATGGGGCCAAAATATAACACTGTATATGGGCTAAGCAGGGACTGAAGGGGTTGAGGCCCCAACAAACTCAACAACTAAACATCCCCAGTGGCCCCAAATTATGAGGACTGTAGTTTTCCATGATTTTACAGCATGAATAATCGTCCAGCCAAAGTAAGAAAGCTGTAAGTGAGGAGATGCCATTACCATACAAAAGACAACAGGACAAGTGGCTCAAAGAAACATTTACTTGTGTTAAACACATATATATTGTAAAAAAAATGTGTTGTTGCAAATTAATAAAAACATGGACAAAGCTGAACAAATGTTTCAGATGAGATGAGCAGCTGCATGAGTGAATGAGGCTTTTTTGTGCTTTCATATTTTACACAAGACAAAATAATTTAAAGATTAAACTGTGACAAGAAGCTACCTCAGTGGGTCAGTGGAGGGCCATGCCATTACAAATCTGAGAGCCACTTCACATTTAATTTGGTCACGAATTTTTGCATCATGATCAAGGTTTAGAAAAACAAAACTTATAAATTCAACTTTACATCATAAACTGTTTTAAAGTGTAAAACAATGTGATAATAAATCCACATTTACGCCCTTTATCCAGCAATGGGTGATATTCCTAGCTGGCCAAATGAGTTTAAACTTAATTCACTGGTCACGTTACAGTAATAGAGTCTTCATGATCTTTGACAAAATAAATAAGATATAAACATTATTTTTAAAAGCATATTAAAAAGAAACACTGTGGGGATCCTCACATTTATTATAATGAAGCATAATATTTAACATTTATGCCTCAATACTCAGAGTTATTTGATGCACTTCACTGTTTTTAAAGGTAAAGCTTTAAAGATTAATAATGTGGTGTCTGAACAAAATGTCATAGCACTCCATCTCAAAGTTGTGTAGATATTTTAATCCAGTCAGTGTAGTGAACTGTGGCAGTGTGAACAGCACCGTGGCATTGGCCTGGCTAAAAATCTACAATTACACCTGTCAAGACAAATATCTAATGAGATTTTGAATGAGTTTTCTTACTTCTGGAATAGGACTCAGGAGTTCTGGTTTCACTGTGGCTCTTTATGACACACCCTTGAAACCACCAAAACCTATTTCTAAAATTAATGATGATATACTTTAAGAAGACAAACAAATGACTATAGTATTCTATGACACCATAGTAGATCACATAGAGATACTAGATGGATTAACTTTTTTATAGTTAACTTTAGTACAAGTTAAAGTCAGCCCTGATGTGAGTGTATGATTAGAATAGTTCACTACTAGTGCAGATCACCTATTGGACTTGGGCACAACACAAGTGCAGGCCACTGGGACTTTCATAAGGTCCTTTTTGACCACGTATTTGTTTGGGTCATGCGGGCACAGAGTCTTCCTTAAGACCATGAGATGAGAAAACACAAGCACAGAGTTGTATGTTAGATCCTCATACTGGTCGATGATGCAGCCCTGACAAAGGCACTCTGCAAGAGCAATCACCTCAGGGAACCTGTTGACGTCTCGGTCTAGGCTGAAGGAGACAATCGGACAGAACAGACATCACTCACACAGCAATAAATACGGTAGCTGAATACATCACAAAGATTTGGCCATCTCCATCTTCTGCTGCACCATTGTTTTTTAGCTTTGATTATCATAGTTATTTTTGTGTGTAACTGTTGCCTATTGTGAACTGTGAGAATGTTTCTCATCTGAGTGCCTAATGATAGCTAAAACTACTAAGTTAAGTCATTTACAGGCATGCAAAACAATGCTAAGAGAAGAGAATATTAATATATGTGTGACACACAACATTTAATTTGTATTTGAAATATACAACGGAGAAAACCCTTGACTCAATATGTGCAAAACAATGAAATATGGAATATTAATGCTGCTAGCATTATGGACTAACATCTAAAAGTAAAAATCCTTCACTTTTACTCACAAACTTAAAAATTAACACTATTTATCAAAGTGTTTTGAATTTATGAAGAATTTAAGAGGTTAAGAAATTACCACATTAAGGAAACGCCTCTGTTTTCTGTCTCCATTCATGAATTCCAGTGCATGACAATTGGTTTTCTGTCTGACTTGATCCCTGACTCCTATTTACTCTGGTATCATACAAAACCATGATTAATTCTTGCAACAGAATAAATGGGTCGATGGTAACTGCTACAGTCAGTATACATTATATAAATAGTTATCACAGGATGCATGTAGTTCTAGTCTACATTACAAACACTTCATAAAAACTAAAGTGACACAAAAATTTGTAGTAACTGGGATCTGAACATTCTTAGAGTAACATCTGTACGTCCGGTGTCTGACCTGCGGTAGTCATAGTTTGACTCATGTTTCAAGGACAAATGCCAAACATTCCTTAGTTCCAGCTTCTAAGTTGCACGTGTTAGGGAAAAGTCCAAAATATAAAAACAGATATTTCACCAGATATTTCTCTTCTATTTTTCTTCTCTTCCTCTTCCATAAATCATTTGTCAGGTGACCTTTTGGAGAGCCCAACTTCTAGGTTGGGAACTACTAGACTGATACAGCTAACTGGATAAAGTGTAAGTGCCACATTGAGCAGCTACAAGATGCATCAGATAATTATTTGGTCTGTAGAAATATGTCTTAATTTCCTCAGAATACAATGAGACATCTTCAAAGGTCTTATTTTATTTGATTAAGAGTCCAAAACCCAAAGAAACCCAAACTCTTGATGATATAAAGAGGATTAAATTAGCAGATCTTCATATCTGAGAAACTGGGACCAGATTTTGACATTATCAAACTATTTAATGATTAATTTTTATCAGTCCACTAATGGATTACAGCTCTCTCATATAATCATATAAGCCGTCACAGGATCCAGTTTTCTACTAAATTTGCATCATACTGTGTTGCCTTTATTGTTTCAAGTTTTGTAGTAATAACAATCTTAAGTACTATTTTAACCGAAGTAATTTGCTTAGTATTTTCACATTGTCTTATGCAGGCAAAATGTAAGTTTTCCTCAGTTGATACCAGGTGGTGAGATAGCTGAGCGTGTTTGTCCCCCTGCGGGTTCCGTAGCAACATGACGTAATTAAGCTACCTGTGCTTTTTGGCAAAAGAGTGTACAACAATATAGCAAATTCATACAAGTTGTAAATCAAAACATTCTCAGACATTACAAATTTGATTTAGACAAGAAAAACAAACAGTGGCGCCTGCAGGATTATATTTTATAGTACGTACACGAACTGCCTACAGCAACATAGACTTTGTTTAATGAGAAACGTTTCTTATTATAACAAGATACTTTGCTTTACGAGATACTTTCATCTCAAAATATATTTGTCACTTTATTTCGACATGCCATATTTTCTTGTTATGACGACACAGGCTACTTTGTCATTATAACATCACAGCCTGCTGTATTTTCTCATAATAACGCGAGCCCCGCACATCCTGGAGTGAGTGCAGCGCGCACACTTGGGCATCACCTACGTAACTCATTCATTTCAGCAGCCTCTCTCTCATCAGCACCTGGTTTCTCTCAGTAACCTGGCTACTTAAGTGCATGTAAACGCAGTCACTGATTTGACACTTATATCTACGCACAATAATTATTCCACAAAATAACACATATGCAGTTCATGAGCCAAGCTAAGTAAAAAATACCCTGCACATGTCCCGATGACGTGACAGACATTACAGGTGCAGTCAGCGTGCGGCTGCTGTCACTCACTCCAAGCTGTGCAGGGCTGACGTGAGGGAGTAGAAACGACATGGTCCACTTTAGGGGTGTGTGATGTCAGATAGCTCTTCGGGCCATAAATGTCAGACTGTATTTTTCTACATATCTTGATTGCACAATGGCTGCTAGACGCGGTGGCGAAACACTTGAGCAAAATCATTTTAAAAATGTACAAACAGTGCGTACAGGGTTACGGCTCCACTGAAAGCAACAGTAACGTGGACTTGCCTGTACTTCCACGGGGACAGGGAGCGGTGGCTCTTGTCGTTGTTGTCCACCTGAGCGCACGTGCGCGTGTCCTGCACCGGGATTTCAGAGACAATCCGGGGTACCTGATTCCTCCTAAAATGGTTAATGCGGTGGTTCAGCTCGTCCGCGGTGACGCATCTGGGTGTCCTAGGTGTAGTGGGAAGTGCATATTTCTGGTCGTTGAAGATCAGCAGCAACCAGAGGGAGATCTATAAACATAAAAAAACACACATTTTAGAAACACCTGACTGTTGGTAAATGAAAATATATCCTCCGAGCAAAGTGCGCTCCCCTATGGTTCGCGTTCACTATTACCATTTGCAGACTAACCCATGTCATCTTGAACCCGGGCAGGTTTGTTGTGTGACCGGCATTGATTGCAGTATATATTTGAAGACCCTGTAGTATATATATATATATATATAAGCATCCTGCTTCCATTTTGTCTGGGAAAATCCTGAAGTTAGTAGGCTAGTTTATTTTACTGAATCCTCAGAGACGTAATCCCGCCCAGTGCACTGGGCGGTGTTTTCATCTCACTCTGACGTTGATTTTAAAGGTAAAAACCTGAACACCTCATCTTAATTAGCTATTTATCTGATTTAGATAACCTGTGTAGTCTACTGTGTACACTATATACTGTACCTAAGAGTACTTAACTTGTACAGGTCTCTAGTTCCTACTCTGTTTTATCCCTGTTTATCATTTCAATGAAAATTCCTTTGCTTCCTGTCTGTTTCTACTGCTTTTTCTGCATTGTTTGCACCGTTTGTTGGCGTTAATACTGCTATCTTGTTATATTACACAGCCTTATGCCGGTTACTGTTTTGCACATTGAGATCCGTCAAATTCCTCGTGAGTCCGTCACACCTGGCCAATAAAGCTGATTCTTTATAGCAGCTATTTCTAAGTAACATGATGCTACTTAACCCCCGTTGTAATCATTTATAAGCAATAGGCTATAACACTTTAGTGTAGTTATATGTACAAAAGTGCATTTTAATTTATGTATAGGCTAGTACTAATACTTGTACCTTCTCCTATTAAGTATTTAATGACAGCTGTGTTATATTGTCATTTAGTTTTGGTTTATATAGAACGACATGCATAGGAGTTAATTTTTTTGACAGACAAAAATTGCCTGGCAAAGTAGCCTGATGAAAGTGATCATAAAGAGCTGTGACAGAGACAGACACTAGTCTCATTTGTGCAGTGGCCCACACCAAATACAGGTCTCAGCTTCAGTTGGGTCAACATAAAAAAGTCCTAGCCTGGAAAGGTCAACGAACAGCACACAGGTGTAGCACTGTTAGGACCGCTCACACACAGGAGGGTGAGTGAGCGAAAAAATAAGAGAATGGACCCAGATGGCTGACTTCAGTGCAAGCAAGACTTTAATGGTGCTGTACAGACTATTTACAAGTGTAGTGAGATAAAAGGCTAAACAGAAATATGGGGATGATAACCGGGTGTCGATCAGTTACTGAAACAGTTCAGTGAAGTGATGGGTGAGATCGGCCTAGCTGCAGACACTGCGGTCACTCTTGAGCTGACCGGTAGAGGTGGGACACAGCTGAGAAGACAGGGTAGAAACAGGCGGTGAGCAGATAGAATCTGGTGACTGTGTACCGACCTGGCTGGTGGAGGCTGGAAGGGTGGTGAGGAGCAATGGTCCGGGGGTAACTGTCCATGGAGGAGATCAAGAGGAGGAAATTGAGTGGGCAGACGAGAGGAGAAAAATCAAAACTGGATATACGAATATATAAAGCAAAATGGCACTGGTTGTCAGCCTGAGAGTAATGACAAACCAGTAACAGAGTAACAAGTGAGCTGGGTATAAGTAGGGTGAGGGACTAAGGGAATGCAGCTGGTGTAAATCAAGGAATCAGTGTGCAACGTGGAGAAAACCGACACAGAAGTAATAAGAGAGGGAGGTGAGAAAGGCAGGTGCAGCCAGGCAAACCTGACAAACACTGCATGGCAGATAAATGAACTGATAAGAAACCAGGTCAACTAAAAAGCAAGTTAGACTCTATAGCAGTTAACACTACCTTTATTTGTTATGTGAGCGATTGGAAAAGTAAATGACAACACACTGCTGATTAAAGTCACACCAGGCTCAGAGCCTCTGCACAGCATGAGTTGATCTCCAAAAGACACAAAAGAACTGGGTGCAAAACAACCACAATGAGATGCTAAATGAATACAAAGAGATTAAAAACTACAAAGAGATGAAAAGCAATCACAGACAAAACTACACTAAACCAACTACAAATATAAAAAAAGAACTATGATGTATAAGACCTGACAGACAGAATATAAAATAAACACAAGACAATATAGAAGGCATATAGATAGGATCCAAAATGCATACAATTAACTATAAGCATAAGTTATAGTGGAATTAAACTAGATTACAGTGCTGTGCAAAATATAAATAAATAACCCAAAATGTCCCCATATATCAACCTATATATTTTTCTGAAATGAACATTCTACAGAAGAAGTCTGGACACATTTTCCTACTGAACTGAAGAAGAAAATGTGTCCAACTTTTGACTGGTAGTTTATGTTTAATCTAAAAATTGAACTATTACTAATGTTAGTCTTTGACTGCATGACTTATAGTACAGTATTTCTATTTTGTGGTAATACTACTTTTACTTATCAGCCTCCACCTTTTTGGCACAGTCTAAATGTCTTTTTTGACTCATTATTGTGTGGGTGTACACTGAGAATATAGACAAATGTCACGTTTTGTTTGTTTTGACTTTTTTCTGGAATTTCTTGACAGTTCTACTATCAACCCCTCCTTATTTCAAAAATTCTGTGCGCATTGTTTTAGTGTTATGATATATTCAGTACTATGTGTGTTGCCATGGATCCAGCAGAAAAGAAACAGCATATCATTGTGAACACTGTCCCACAGCCAGAGCAGCTCATGGGTAGGCCCAGATACGCACGGCGTAGTGCGTAGAGCAGGTGAGGGGGTGGGTGCTGGCAGCACAGTGTATGAACACTGATACTGATTTAGAGGTAAAACGGGGATTTGAGCGAGCTGATGTTGGGCGAAGCAGCGACATTTTCACAAGTTTGTGTTTTGCCTGTTTAACAGCAGTTTGATAAACTGCTCATATAGTCTCCATTACTGGCGGCTTTTGTTGCATGCATGATTAACAAGCATTATGGTCCTTGGACGTTCTCTTTTCAGTTGTGTGTGTGTTTCTGTGTGTGTGTGTGTGTGTGTGTGTGTGTGTGTGTGCCCTTGTGTAAACAATCAGTCCTGATATGTTGTAAACGTCACATCTCTCCCTCCCCTTCTCAACCTGCTAGATATAAGTGTCTTGCAGGCTGTATTCAGAAACAAAGTTTTGTTTGGCTCTCCCACTTCCTAGATGAACCTCTGATTGTAAAAAGGCAAAGAAAAACGTTGTTTGTTGAAGTTGTCCAACCACAGATACTATTCTACCAAGACTGTCTTACAAAAGAAAGACTATTAACAATTCCAGTGAGTCTGTAGTTATATTATCACCATTTCAAATTCTGTGTGGATGAAGGAGTGAAGGCAAGTCTACAGGGTCATCAGTTTGTTGAGTTGGGCCCACGACACCAAGAAGGCTCAACATTGTGTTACAGCATCCCAGAACCACCCCCCTCTTTGCCAACACCCAACTCTTCATCTACTCAGGCTAGTTGTTACCAAACAGTCACTAGCACTAGCAAACATTTCATCTGCTGTTCTAGCCACCAAACATTATAAATAACTCACCAACTATTTCAAATAGCTCACCAGATAACTAGCCAGACTTCTGCGTCCTTTTATATTGCACCAGAAACCACCCTGTCTTAATATTCATTCCAACATTTTTTTAGATTAAACATAAACTACCAGTCAAAAGTTGGACACATTTTCTTCTTCAGTTCAGTAGGAAAATGTGTCCAGACTTCTTCTGTAGAATGTTCATTTCAGAAAAATATATAGGTTGATATATGGGGACATTTTGGGTTATTTATTTATTTATGTTTTGCACAGCACTGTAATCTGGTTTTATTCCACTATAACTTATGCTTATAGTTAATTGTATGCATTTTGGATCCTATCTATATGCCTTTTATATTATCTTGTGTTTATTTTATATTCTGTCTGTCAGGTCTTATACATCATAGTTCTTTTTTTATATTTGTAGTTGGTTTAGTGTAGTTTTGTTTGTGATTGCTTTTCATCTCTTTGTAGTTTTTAATCTCTTTGTATTCATTTTGTGTCTCATTGTGGTCACTGGGAGGTGACAGTAGTACAGTAGGTAGAGCAGTCATCTCCCAACCAGAAGGTTGAAGGTTTGAACCTCAGTGCCGACAGTCCACATGTTGAATTGTCGTTGGGCAAGACACTGAACTTGCCCCTGATGGTTAGAGCCATCAGTTGAGTTGGCGCCACAGATGGCTGCCATCGGTTCTGTACTGGAAACAAATTCCTAATGTGTAACATACTTGGCCAATAAAGGTGATTATCCTTATCCTCCAACAATGCAGTCAGACTTACACTATGCTCTCTTGAAGTTTGCTCATGCAAACACCTGGAAGAAGGCCTCAAGCAGCTGCATGTATCAAACACTTTTACTAAGTCTGTCCTGCTATGATAGTTTACTTCATCTTAATCAGCTTAACAGGCACAGTCTTCTCATCTGTTGCCGTTTATAAATCACTTACCTATTTCTACCCTATTCACACACCTTTCTTCTGCTCCAGAGCCACACACTGGACCTTGCTACACCATCAGCTAGATTCCCAATTACCTGTCTTAGTCTGTGCCATTTTATACCTAACTCCCTTAGCAGAGCGACAGCTGACTTGGCTACAAATCCCCTACAACCAGCCTCCACGGGGAAGACTTTAACTTTCCAGCCATGCTCCTCTGCGTCCATGGCTAACTCAACAGTTTCTTCCTCTCATAAGCTCTATCTATAGTGTCCTTCCAGAAAACTGTAAGCTTGACAAAATACACAGTCTGCTGTGTTACTAACCACAACACAAGGTCTGGTCTGAGGTTAGTGCTGACTATCTCCTCATGAACTATCAGCTAATTCCCTAAATCTACTTTCATTAGTTGGCCTGCATCCTGCCTGTTCAGAATGACTTGTTCCTGCCTTTTTCACCCTCACAAACAAAATCCCCTCCTCTTCCTTCTTCTCCTCCATTGAGTCTGCCTATAAGCACCTACTTTTACATTTTACATTTTACACCCTGAGAGGATGTGCTAAGGTGACACAGTTTATCTTTCCTCACTCCACTTTCATCTAAGATGGTATTTTCCAGCTTCTGACTGGCTGAACACACCTGAGCCAGGTAGTCAGCAGCAGGTCAGGCAGGGATAGTTGGAAAACAAGCAGGACAGCGGCCCTCA